GCCGCTGGGGGCATTCAATCATTTCACCGCCAGCCGCTAAGCCACCGCGCCGTCTCAGCGTGGACAATGACAGGCTGACTTGTAGCATCCAGTGTGTGGTCTCCCTGGTAGCATAAGAAAAAATGTACCAAGAACGATTGAAAAATCTGTAAAAATACGTCAAAAAGTAGTTTTAGCATACGATTAAAACACGGATAATGACGATACACTGGAAAAAAAAACACATTGTATCTAGAATCCAGACTCTTCAAAACATTGACAAGAAAAAGGGCTCTTGATTAAATCAGATGTAAGCTTAAATCAAGAGGAAATCCGCTCAAATTAAGAGGCTTGGTTCTTGATTTAAGCTTAAATCTGGTTGAATCAAGAGTATTTTTTCTTGCCGATGTTTTTAAGAGTCTGGACTCTAGATCCAATGTGTTTTTTTTTTCCAGTGTAGTAATGAAGCATCAACTTGGAAATTTCCAATTAACTGTAGGAGTACCCCAATTAATTATGATTGTATATGTATACCCTAATAAATACGGTCACTAACCCAAATTTTGCGGCACTACCCTAACTTTAGTTGTGGTATTACCAAACTTAATTTGAAATGTCCATGTCATCCAAAAAGTTAGGGTAGTACCAAAAATTTAGGGGATAACCCTTAACACTTGTTCTCTGTGATGACTACGAAGCAAAGATTGGCTACAGCAAGAGGGCAACAATGAAGTGAAAGTTTTAACAGTGAATTTTGAAATGTTAAAAAAGGGTATATGAGTTTTTGAAGTAATAATAAACATTAATTAAAAAGGACCAATGAGAAAGTGTACCATGTAGGATTTGTGAAAGGTACGTGGAAAAAATCACGTTTTCTCTACCAAAGTACTTATCCTTTTACTAACGATTTTTCCCGATTGCATCCTCATTTAGGTATACAAAGCTTCATCTGTATTTACGACGCTGTCGTGAGTTTTTTTCTTAATCTACAAGCGGCATGTGTGCGCAACGCGTTATTTTCGGCGGAAAACGCCTTATGAACATTCGAATATTGCCAAGTTTCCCCAGATAAATGTTTAATTTAGAAAAAAGATACCGATAATTTTTCTTAGAGTTTTCAAATACTTCAGATTAAATTGCGAATTGAATTTATTGAAAGTTTAGAGGAAAATTATTCTGGAGTCTCGCGGAAAATTCGTATTTTTCAAAGGAAATCCAGCAGCACCCAATGGCTCATACGGCCTTCTTCCTTAACACGGTCGTATGGCAGAACATGATTAGCAGAAAATCAATTGTACTTAAGTTCGTCACTCCTCTAACGTGAGCATTGGCGGATCCAGGAAATGGGAAACATTGCTTTTCTCCATTTAAACCTATGGAAATGTATCGATTTTTAGAGGCACCAAATGCTCCGAGAAGAATTGATTATTTAATATAGTTTTAAATGGAGGGAACCTGGTGTTGCCAAATTGCTGGGTCCGCCTTTGAACGTGAGGGCGTATCTCGACTTCCACATGAGCCCGGAAAGTATAGAGTCTTACGGAGAACAGATCTTACAAGGAAATCGAGATACGTCCTTACGTTAGAGGCACGACAAATTATACTTACCGATTAGGATGCAGGACCGGATTAAGGGGGTGGCCACATGGACCGCGGTCCAGAATGGCGGCAAATCTGAGGGGCGGCGAAAATTTGAAATTTTTTAAAGTGTAGGTATCAAAAAAAAATCGGATTTATAAAAACAAAATTACAAACGAGAAAAGGCGACAAAATTTCTAATTTTCTGAGAGTATAGTAATTTCTACTTTTGTCGTCTTTCAGTGATACAAGAGGCAGCACCTTTAATTAGTCGAGTTAAGATAGAAACCAAACATGCAATTTGGCCTGGAACGGTACGACTTACCTAGAGAGAAATGATGACGAGGACTTGAGATGAAAAGGAGAAGCCCTCGGTGCGGCGATCGGCATGTAAGACATATTGGCGCCTACAAGACTGCACGAATACTTCACGCATTGCATCAAACAGAGTTTGGTCATTGCGGACAGCGTGAAACGGATAGCGCCTAAAAGAATAAATGAATACCTCACGCATTGCGGCAAACACAGTGCGATCAGGGTGAAACGCATAGCGCCTACAAGACTGCGTGAATACTTCACGCATTGCGTTAAACACAGGGCTGTCTGCGAGGCGCGGCGCGGCGGCGGAAGTTAAAATCATTAATCCACATTTATGTTTGTTCTTTCATAATTGTTTCGTTCATTTCTTATGAATGGAAGGCTTTGTCCACACAGAGATAGGTTTACAAAACTTAACTTTCGCACAAAGTTCCATGAACTTTTGCTAGTAGTGTTGATGGGGTTTTCTCAAAAAATGTGTTCAACACCAGTAAACGCGTCTTACGCACCCCTTTCCCGCTGGCATGTTCATTTGATGGTTTTCGTTGATGTTTCAAAACGAATGAGAAGGGGGCGGCAAAATACTAGCGGCCCATGGGCGGCAAGTAGGTATATCCGGCCCTGTAGGATGTGTAGAGAATTCAACCCCTCAAAAAAGGAAAAGGAATGTGACTCTTCTGGATCTCATGCTTAAAAATAATGATAAATTCTGAATCATCAATAAATCATCAAATGATAAATTGGTAGCCGTTGTTCCAATTGAGTTGGATTTATTTCCTTTAGTCGGAAGCATCGAGGTGTAAGTGCGATTCTCACGGGTTCGGTGCTGGCTTTTTACCGGGTTAAAACGCAGCGTCTAGACGAGAGGAAGCGGTCGAGCGGAGAGCAAAGCTATTAAAACTTGCCCGGTCGTTTCGGAATGACTCAATCCACAATCACCAGGATAGGATGACTCTCTTAGATGATTCCTGCGCGGTCAAGAACGGCTTCCTCGTGGAGAATCTCTGTTATTTCACGTACACTGCATGCCCCCTCTCGGTCCTCTTGGTCGTGCTGAGGAAAAACGCCGTATGAACCTTCAGGCGTTGCCAGATTTCTTTAGATGAAATACAATTTTTTGAGGAAATATGTGAATATTTATCCTCCACATTTTAGGACAATTTTTGACGTAATTTAATCTAAATTATATAAAAATTTCAAGGGAAAATGTGCATAGCATTTCTCAAAAATATATATTTTATTCGGAGAAATTTGGCAACTCTTATGTTCATATGGCGTTTTTCATTAGCACGCGGCAGCTTTCGACTGGACGTCTTTGCGAAGAAAGAGGGCGAGGACGTCTACCAATTTCAATTTTATCAAGGAACGTGTTCGTAGTCACTTTCACTGACACACTAAATTAAGAAATGAATTGCTTAAAATCCGAGGAAGTTCTGGTTAAAAGAAGTTTAATACGGTCCTTTTCATCAGCTCGTTTTATTTGGGCGGGTAGCGGCGCCATTTGGACTGATGCTAGGTAAAGGGGTTCAAAAGACGTTGCAAGAAAGCGAACTTTTTTGGAGAATGAGAGAAGCAGCAATAGTGTTAATAAATCAAAATATGCCGTAAGTCGGACATGTTATGCCCAAAAAAGGTCCCATGGTGAAATGAAGGAGGGATATCGACCTTCTTTTCTGCCCTACCGCGTGACTTGTCTGTAATTTGAACTCAAAGATGTTTCATACTTTTTATTCATGTTCTTCATCCAAAACTAATCAAATAACTTAATTGACTTCTCTCTAGGGATTTTTTAAATCAATTTTGGATGCGCCTTAAATTTTCCAATCCTTTCTAAAAATGCCTGCGGTCCTCTTTCCATAAATCCATCTTCGTTGCTGATTTTATAGTGGTTGGCCGTCTTTTGAGTGACGATTTTGACTAAATTGAGATATCCTGTTCGTATGTTCTCATTCATGACAATAGAAAACTCATTACTTTAGATGACATCAGGAATGAAAGGACTGCCTCGCTGAGTACAAGTTGACATTGAGTGTCAACATGCACCTCGGCGGTTGGAGCGATTTTGCACCCCAGGAATGTTCGAAAAGCTACTCTAAAATGTATATTCCAAAAAAGTGATGCGACATACAAATAATTTTACAGCCTACATAACGGCTGATCTTGCCTCAATTGGCACAGATTGCTTTGACAATCATAGAGTCGTAAAAACCCACAAATCTGATATTGATTTTTTATTCCTGCTTACAGATACTATTACGTTATAACCAGGCGTGACAAGCGGCAGGTGCATGTGACAGAGAAAATCTGAGGCTGTCAACGAAGCGTTAATTAAATCCTCAACTCACACAAACAGCTTGATATTAACCATACAAAAATAGAACTTGATCTATTTTTTAATCCCAAAAATACATTGATACTCCCTTTACAATTTGTATGTCATAAAGATTTCTTGTCATCTTTCCGGCTTTAAAGATTATTCAGGGATGATAAAGTGAGCCTGTTACAATACATTTCCAGCAGGAATCGGCTGATAAGATCATAGAGACTTGAGGAAATTCACTTACTTAATTTTCATTGATTAGCGCTAGTGGCGAAACGGCCGTTTTTCACGGTGTGTTTTGTGGTGTCTGTAATCATAAAAGTGACACCAATTTAATATATGTCTATCACACTGAAGTAATTTACCAAGTCCAGACGATAGACTTGAAGGTATGTCAACCGTGCGAGTTTACACACCTGGTGCTGAATATATGCTCCGTATATTTCAATGAACATATCGACGGTGAAACTACCAAACCACGTGTCTCGGTTTGCGACGTCGCAGACTTCCTGTCGTACTTTATTTTTTAAATGAAAAACTACTTAACATTCAGTCTTGAAAATTTCTGTGATTTTCCTTCTTTGCGCGGAGAAAATTCCGTGAAAATTTCAGGGAATGATATTGATCTGCAAGTCTACTTCAAAAAAATAAAATGTAAGCGTAGATTTTTAAACACCGCAAACGAGATACGTGGTTTGGTAGTTTCACCGTCGATATGGTCCTTCCAACACACATAGACAAAAAGTGCAGTTTGTTTTTGACAAGTTCTATCATCAAGCGAGAAGCTTCTTTTGATGGGAGTCTTAATCATTTTAGATTGCCGCCTGGAGCGAAGATTACTCATACGTGTGAAATTTATTGGTCTCAGCGTTCCATTACATCATCTCTACTTTAATGCCGAAGCTGCTTGAATCCCGCAAAAGTTACTAAACTCAGTTCGATGTGTAAGATGCTGCTCTTGAATTGGGAGGTATGGCAAAGTACCTAGTCTGCTGAATGTTTTTTTCGCGCGAGTTTAAAATTTTATTGGATTGTTTATTTTTAAAATGTAGAGATAAAATAAACAAGGAGAAACATCCAACATGAATATGTTGGAAAAGCGTGCCGAACAACTGAAATTTCGTAGACATGAGCTTGAATGAATCGCTGAACCAAGAGCTAATAATATCAGCTGTTTTGATATGGCATTCTATCATGGAGTAATGCATAGGGCTCATGTTGTATAGTCAATGGGTACGAAGCACCCATTAAAGTGCGGCGGGAAAAAATATTCTAGATTCAAATCGCTCTAGCGTAAAAAAAGGGTTTTTGAAGGATCTGTCAAATGAAATAATACGGTTTTGACCGGAAAATGTTCTCAAGGGTTTCCAATCAGCAGTTCATTCAGTTTTTTGGTAAAAGACCATCAGGACTTGGCAGTTTAACGGTTCAAAGACAAAAAAACGGGTCCGAGGAAAAAATATTTGGACGGCCCGTTGAATAGCATTGGTTTATCGGTGTGCTGTACTATGGTACATCCAAGTGATTTCAAAAAGCGAGCCTTACTGGCACGCTTAAAAAAATGCATAAGATGGTTTGATTCCAACCAAACGATGCACCTCGAAATAGGGGCAACACATCGAGATTCTCTCTTCAGAAAAAAATGCGAATATGGTTCTCAAACAGGGGCGTGGTGTATCTGCCATTTAAACCTATGGAAAAGTATCGATAAACAGAGTGTTCGCAATGAACTCCTTAATAGTCGATCTTTCAGCACAGCTTCAAATGGGAAAAATATCGATAATCGATTATTCACGCCTCGCCGTTGTTCTCAAGGTCAAGGTGTGAAATGTCATTCAAACAGCTCTTTCGGAAAAATACTTATCCCTGAAAGATCAGTTGCCTAGCTATGACATCAAACAAAACTAAATAACCAATTGGCTGCATGAAGACGGCAAAATAACAAGAGAATACGATTCTAGGATAGGTGGTTTGATCAAAAAATCTCTTGCTAATACCATCTTGCCGCTCTCTCGCGAAATAATTGCAGGGTCAAATTTTGCGAATTTTTTTTCAAAACCAAAAGTTTCCTTTGAGCCAAAATATCAAAAGTGGCAGCATCCTTCTGTAAACAAAGTTCTCTTTTTACTCACGATCTGTAGAGAAAATTTCACATGCTCATGCTTGAATCCCCAAACTGAACCTAAATTGGAGTCTTTATTTCCCTGCTGCCCCAATTTGGTTACAATTGAACCGATGCCAGTTGTCTTAGTCGTGAGAAGTGGAAGTCATATTCCCTATAATGAAACCTTAAAGCGCTCAGGAGGCTGACGTTAGCAATCGTCTGGATCAGAATGTCATCAAATGATATTGATTCTGTGTCGAGGGTTTTCAAATTTTAGGAGATCATTTGGATTCTTGACACTCTTAACTCATTCAAAATTTTACTTTTGGATAGGAATAAGGTAAATTTTCGTTTCATTGAAAAGTGCTTATATGCGCCTGCTGAAATGTATGAATGCACCATTTTTAAAAATATTATTAATGTTTGATAATAAAACTAATAAGTTATTCAATTTGTACTCATGAAGTTACGTGTTTCATATGTGCATTTGTGTAATATGTGTCAGTCTTAAGTCCCAACTTCTTATTTACAAAAGTTTTTTTTCCTTTGACTTTTTTAGTTTTTAAATTTAGGAAGCTATACTGCCTTGCTCAGGAGGAAAGCCGTATGAACCTTCAGACGCTGCCATATTTCCTTCAATAAATCCTTATTTTACTGGAAAAATTGTGAGTTTTTTTCTTCAATTTTTTCAGGTAATCTTGTTCGCAATTTAGTCTAAAATGTCTGAAAATTTCAAGGAAAAATAAGCGTAATCGCTCTCAAAAATACTTGGTTTGTCCGGGGCAATTTGGCAACTCTCGAATGTTCATACGACGTTCTTCCGTAGCACGGCAGTACAGTGGCAGTTTATTAATTCGGTGTTAGTCCATTCGTTTGCACAGGGAGCCGAGGGTGAAAACATCCGCGAAATCCAAGCGCGAGGCCACTGTGAGGCGGACCGAACGGATGATTTACGGCGGGTTATGCAACACGCAGAACATTAGAGCCAGAGATTCGAGAGCAATTGGTCGTTGTTCGGATGCGGGTGTAGTCACCGTCTCAGCCGGAGTCATTGTGCGCCTACCTGCGTCCGCGGTGAATAGTAATGCATTATTCAACAGGAGCCGACTTCGATCCCTCGCCGAACATTGAAAATCGTTCGCGCCTTTTTTCTAGGGGCCCCGACGCTACGCGACGCGACGCAGACAACACCATTATTCTTGCATTTCTCTTTTTATTACACTCGCAACTACTTGCACAAAGCTATGAATAAATCAGTGTTTCTGGTGCACTTTTTTTTTGTTTCATTTTTTCGCCACTTTCGCCGCCTCTTTCTCCCGGCGCTTCTATGCGGAGCGTTGGTGCATGTAAACACGGAGGGGATTGTTGCAAATAATAACTCCGAAGCTCAAAGTTTTGTCTTTTGCGGATAAGCTTTTTATAAAAGCACCGAGGTAGACTCTCTGCCAGGAACTGTTTTACTCGGAGTCCGATATGGGGCATTGGACCTTTATACGCATCTCGATGATGGAAGTAAATTTTGTTGTGCACGGAAAAAAATTGAATGTTGCTTTAGCATATGTTGTTGAAAAATGTGCGACAAGTATTAATGCTGATTTTACGATAAAAAATGCTATGTTTACTGCGTCCACGGTAAAATGAACAGATTCAATGTTGAGTTAGCATTTTTTCAAATTTAAAATCAGCATTTGATACTTGTCGTACATTTTTTTGACAGTGTAAATGCTAAATGAACATCCAATTTTTTGTGTGTAATTTTAGCTGTAGCGGATAGTAAATTAACACGGAGGCTATGTAGTTGAACAGACAAACACTTGAAAGTTGACGGAGATACATCAATTAAAATAACGCCACTGACGATCAGGTAGAGTTGTTTTTTTGACTATTTCTAATTTTTGCTTGAGGAAGAAATCAGTAAACAATATTACTTTCCTAGAAAATATTATTCCTACACGTGTTTATATTTTTTCTCCCGTAACGCAGCTAAATGAAATTAGGGAATATTCGCCAATAAAAGCATTACATTTCCTCACAGAGTCGAACATGATTCGGACGTATGCTTTACAAAATCTTTCCTCCCAAAATGAGCTCTACTTGTTTCAAATAATTGAAAGAATAATTCAGAAAACTCTAATCCAATTGGCAGGTGACTTTTTTACTTTTCCCTGGTAAAAATTGGCAGTAGAATCTGTGTTCCAAAATACCGTAGACCTACAGCCGGCTGTAAGATTTCCAATAGCTCCTATAGCCGGCAACACAATTTCTTATAGCCTTTTATAGCCGATGACGACTAAGCAACAGCCTGGCGATAAAGTGTAGGCTAAACGTTACTAATTACGGATGCTAGGACTTAGTGAGTTTTTGGACCACTGCTCTCTTTTTTGGTATCTTGATTTATTTTGCGAGGAAAGCTCCGTACTCTTGAAGGATGCCTGCCATTCCTAACATGTTGGAGCGCCTGCAATTTCGTATGACACTGTGCAATACCTCTGGTGTGAAATAGTTGCTTCAAGTGCAGTGGTACGCTGCGGCGCGCGCGGCGCGGCTCGGCGGGCGGGCAGCCAGCGCGAAAAGCGCATTGGCGCCTTCAAACCTAACAGGGATACTTCACGCATTGCGCAACGCGTGAAGTATCCCTGTTAAGTTTGAAGGCGCCAGTGCGCCGCCGCCGCTCCTCTTTGTGATAAGCTCTAATATTTAATCTCGTGGAGTCAGCGTTTTTCAACTCATGACTTTGAAATGTTTGCACACTCTGTATGGATTATTCTCATTTTAATTGATGAAAAAAAAATATGTAGTAAAGGAAAATATAATGTGCGTTTTGTAAATATTAAGGTGATTCCGTACAAATTTAAGGATTTACAAAGCACACGAATTTCTACACAATTTCTTATAGCCTTTTATAGCCGATGGCGAAAAAGCAACAGCCAGGCGATAAAGTGTAAAGCCCGGCGATAGGAACGATGGCTTGGCTGTATAATTTTTTATCGCTTCGTGTAACCCGGCCGTATGATTTTTTCCACTTTCTACAGCCAGCAATATGATTTTCTATCGCCTTCTTCAGTCGGCTATAAGAACTCCTATGGTATTTTGAAACGCAGCTCCTATCGCCAATTTTTACCAGGGTTCCTCGAAAAAAAAATAAAAATGGGAGAAAAAAAAGAGAGATTAACAATACCGAGTTTATTTTAATTTTAATGTATTATTTTACTCGAAATTATGTTTATGAAAAAAATTGTATAAACAATTAAGCACAAACTGAAAATGAGATATTAATTAAAAAATAAAAACTAAAGTTTGAGCAAGATCTTATCGGAGTGAAGAGTAATATTTTTCGGCGCCCTCCTCACTTAAAGATTCAAGTGTGAAACTCAGCAATCTGTCACACAAAGGCAAGGTCGCCGTTATCTTTACATACCAATTACACGCATCGGGTGAAATTTGAATTTACATGTTAATAAGCACAGCCGAAAATTAATTAACCTTGGTCTTTGTACTTGCGGTGAGTAGCCCCTTTCTCCGGCGGTAAGCGGTCGGATTATCGAAACCCATGCTGGACGTCAGAAATAGATCCGCGGCCACAAAACCGAAGAGAGGTCATTAATTAAGTCCGTTCGGGATAGGCGAGAGATCAGCACTGACATCCTTTCAATCTGATAGAAAGATGCGGCTTGATCACTCAACCAGTAGATACAGATTTCGATGATCGATATTTTGTTTGACAATAATTACAACCAGTAATAATTTTCATCAAAATTCGTGTTCGAGTCAAATCTTGTGAATGGAGAATTTGCGAGGGTCTGAAATTTGATGAATTTCCTGTTTAAGTGGAATCCTCTGAGTGAACTGAACACGAAGATACCCTTGATTCATAAATTGAGCAATTATTAGAGGAGATATGACAAAATAACCGATTCTGCTAAAATACATGTGTTTAAATGGGAAACGCCGCCAGATGACGTCACAAGGGGGCACATTTTCTCACTTTTAAATCAATTTTTCTCCAATTTCCCATGTCAGAAAAAAATTATGAAAAATATTGCGAACTCAGCTCATTAGGCACTTTCAGATGAAGCAATAAAAAAATTGCGTGCAAATTCTCCATTGCTTTGACTGAAATAGCGATTAATACAACTGAGAATTTGCAGGTGTCTGAAATTTGATGATTCCGTGTTTGAATGGACGCTACCAAATGAGCTGAACACGAGGATACTCTTGGTTCATAAATTGAACAATTATTGGAGGAGATGTGACAAAATTATCTATTATGCTAAAATACACGCGTTTACATGGGAAATGCCGCCAGATGACGTCGATAGGCGGCACATTTTCTCACTTTTAAATCTATTTTTATACTATTTCCCATAGCCGAAAAAAATTATAAAAAATACTGCAAAATCAGCTCTGTAGGCACTTTCAAATGAAGCTATAAAAATTTTGCGTGCGAATTCTCCATTAATAGATTTTATGGGAACGAGGTTAAAAGGTGCTTGACAAACGTCTGATGAGAAGCAAAGAGTTGAGTATATCTGGACCGAGTTTGTCTGAGAGGAACTAACCAACATTTTGAAAAAAATGGAGTTAAGCATGTTTATGCGTTTCACTAATCGTTTATTTCTCTTGCCAAAATCTGAAAGTTGAAAAAAAAAGAAATGTATTTGTGAAAAGAGAGGTTAAAGTTTATTTTCTGCATTGAGCCTTATGCAGCTAGGAATAAAACTTCAAACACCTTTTACTCAGTTTCAAGTTAATGTGGGTTGGTTCCTTTCTGATGAACACGGTCCATCTAACTTAGAGCTAATAGCGCATAAAATGTGAAAATTTTAGAGATTTTTGAGCTCATGCGATACTCTTTTCGATTGGCCCATTGCATGAATTTTTAATTTTTTCCCGCGTATTACTGACAACACTGTGAGCCAAAGATCACGCACGGTGTGATCATAGACAAGAAGACGTGTCACCGTTGAGGCTGCTGCAGTGGCAGACCTGCTATTAACCTCTATTGAATTTGGTGTATGAATAATTAGCAGCTTTTATCCACCCCCTCCTCTCTCTAGTGTTACGTGTGTCGTGTGCACCAGATTCTATTTTCCACTCTGGCTCCTTTATGGTCCTTCGTTCTACTTATTTTTGGTACCGCGATTGAATAATGACAAAATATCACTAAAACCGAATATCATACATGCGCAAGGGCTGGATTTTGTTGGTCCTTACGGTGCTTAAATATATTTCAGACGAATCTCAACTGCCCTTAAGTCCAGCCTAACCCTTCTGATTGGCCGGTGGTGCGGTTCGCACTCATCGATGGATGTTACACCTCCACGTGAGAGAGCCGCAACAAAATTTAGCTCTAGAGGTTTTTATTGCTCATTAGGATCAATCGATTAAAGATAAAAAAGTAGTAGAAAATACTACAACTATGTAACTCAACATTTAAAAAATCGTTTTTTTTTATTTTTTTATTTATTTATTTAGAATTTTGTTCTTCTCATTTGAGACATTTACATGTTGTTAGACTTACCTTGCAAACAAATTTAGTGAGCTGCAATTCCATTCGAAAACTTACATCCCTCGTTCAAAGCATCCAATTAAATCTTACGAAGCAAGACGAATGCATGTTTTTGGGAAAGTAGCTGTTCGCGCAATAATTATCTTCACGGCAGAATTGAGGATGAACTTTGAAAAAGAACTTTAAAAGTTCAACTATAATCTACTAAGGGGTATGAATGTATTTTTCAAATACATAACTCTCCGCGCTGCTTGTTATGTTTATTGCCTACTCGGCGAAATTGAAGGCAACTCTAGGCAGGTGACATCTGCCAATGTGTTTCATAATACTTCCCAAAGAAAAGCTATTTGTGCTCCGCGGTAAAATTGAAGACAAACCTCAAATGGACGATATGCATTTATCAATAGGTTATCAAATCGTCTATTGGTTCAACCAAATGCTAATAAAGCTATATAAATGTGCATTTTTCCAGTAATTAATTTATTTGCTTTTCTCACGCTCCCAGGTATAGATTTATTATGCCAATGCGCTTCAATTTGAGGCTAACTATAAGTGATCGATATCCACTAGCAGAGTACCTAGCACAATATCTATTCGTTCGATGAAGGTATGCAGTGGGATAACTGTATGTTTTTCGAATAGCTCTACCATTCGTGCTTTTCTGTAGACTCATCAGAAAACCCGAAAAGTTCGGAAAAATTGGAAGGCAATTATAAGTAGAAAGAATCTAATAATTTCTGACGCGTTAAAAAGCACTCTCT